TCTCCTTGGGAAAGAGGTTGCAGCAGGCGACTTCGTTGGCATATCCATGCCGAGTTTCAATGCAAAAACAACTAAATTATGAAAACTCCACGCTTGAAGGATAATTTAATTTCTTGATTTCTGCCACTGTCAACTGACAGGAAAATCTCATCCCTAATAACTACTGTGTGTTCATAGCAGAGGCGTCACTCTGCGACACTTCTCCCTTTTTTCTCAAAAAAAAAAAAAAAAAAAAAAAAAAAAAAAAAAAAAAAAAAAAAAAAAAAAAAAAAAAAAAAAAAATACATCACAAGAACAAATATCAAACTGGCAGTCCTCTTCTACGACTTCTTGTCACTGGACCTTCATAATCAGATGAATCATCATTGTTTGGTACATTTTCCTCAGGACACATTTCTTCTATAGGATGATGGATCGATTGCTGAGCAGAACCAACATACGGTCGAAGATCGTTGATATGAACTTTAACAGTGTATCCGTCTCTTCGTATACTATAAGTATCATTTCCAAGTCTCGAAACGATAGTATGAGGTCCAGTCCAAGTCTTCCCTAGAGACCTGTCCTCAGTGTGACGAAATTCTCGCATCATGACTTTTTGTCCCCTTTCCCAAACAACAGGTGTATAATTTTTTCTTGAATAATATTTTGTGCGAAATTTTCTTTGGTTATCTTCAGCTTCTGCCAATCGGTCTCCTTGTTGTCTAGATTGCCTTTGTCTAAAATTTGGATTAGCCCAGTCTCCAGGCTTAGAAAGCTCTTGTCCTAACAACAAAACACTCGGTGGATAACCAGTGGCTCTGTTGGTCCTATTGTTTATGGCGAGAAGCATTTCATCAAATTTTTCATCCCATTTTGATGCACCTAAAGTCAACGTTTGAATTCTCAGAGCTTTTTTCAATTCTTGATTGCGTCGTTCCACTGGATTGGATCTTTGATGGAAAATTGGTGTGGTATAGTGTTCAATATTTGCATTTCTCAAGAATGATTTCCATGAGTTCTGGAACTGAGGTCCATTATCTGTGATAATGGACTCTGGATACCCCCATCTGCCGAATACATTTTTAAGAAACTTCAAAATTGAATGAGTTGTTGCATTGGACACCGTAATCGCTTCCAACCATTTGCTACAAAGATCTGTTACTACTAGTATAAATCGCTTGCCTTGAAGTGTTCTTGGGTAAGGCCCCATAACGTCAAAACTCAAAGTCTGCCATGGTTTCGTTGGAGGTCTTGGTTTGATTGATGCTTTGGATTGAGGTGCACCTGCTTTTGTTGAAGCACATATCAAGCATAATCTTACATGATGACGGACATCTTGCCAAACACCTTGCCAATGATAATTCTGAATTATTGATCTAAATGTCTCATCCCTTCCAGGATGGCAAGCAGTAGACGCATCATGATAGTCGTGTATAACTTTCGCTCTGACCTCCGTTGAAACTTCTATAGCTTTCGTATTTGATCCAATGTAAAAAAGTAATCCATCTTCCACAATATATTTCGATTTCAACTCGCGTTCTTTTCTTTTCAGCTGATCTATCGATGAATTTTGAATTCTCCGCCAAGTGGCGATGTCCCTTTGTATAGCGATATCTGAAACTTGCGCGTTTGCAACAGTCTCGTACAATCCACGCTCCGTATCCAAAATACTTATCGTTGGAGGTACCAGTCGATCATCGTACTCGTCTCTGTCATTTGGCTCGACATCTTCAGAGGGGTTTCTGGACAGAAAATCAGGAAACTGGTTATCTTTTCCTGAACAATGCTGTACAGTAAAAATGAATTCTTGTAGAAGTAAGGACCACCTGGTTAATTTAGCTTTTTCATCCTTGAATCTATCCAGCCAAGTGAGTGCACGACTATCCGTTATCAACGTAAATGGTTTATCTTCTAGGTAAGGTCTAAATTTTTTACATGCCCAAACAACAGCGAGTGTTTCTTGCTCGTTGATGTGGTATTTCTTCTCTGATTTATTGAATTTTGAACTAGCATAACAAATAATCTGACGCTGATCATCAGGACCCCATTGAAAGAGAACTGCTCCCATTCCATATTGGCTGGCATCAGTCTGGAGAATGAAAGGCAAATCATGGTTAGGACGATGTAGCATCAAAGGTTGATTTAGTGATTCTTGCAATTTTTTAAATGCCTGTTCAGCTTGTGGTGTCCACTTGAAAATTTTTTTTCCTGTAAGTTCAGTGAGCGGAGCCGTTAACGAAGCAAAATTTGGGATGTACTCTCGCAACCAGTTAGCTGTGCCCAGAAATGACTGCAACTCTTTCATCGTTCTTGGTCTAGTGAATGTTTTTACCCGAAGAATATGCTGTTCTTGAGGAATGTTTGACTGATCCGTTATTTTGTGTCCAAGATAATCCAATTCAGAAGAGCCAAACACACATTTTTTGAAAGAACATCTCAGGTGATGTATGCGTAATCTTTCCAATACCAAACCCAGATGCATAAGGTGTTCTTCATGATTTTCTGAATAAATGATTATGTCGTCTAAGTAAACCTTCGTGAAACGATCAATGTATCCAGCCAAAACTTCAGTCATGAGTTTTTGAAAAGTTGAAGGCGCATTTCTCAGTCCAAATGGCATCACAAGGAATTCATACATAGCTCCATCAGGGGTTCCGAAAGCTGTAAGCGGTATACTTCCTTCATGCATCGATACCTGCCAGTATCCGCTCTTCAAGTCAATTGAAGAAAATACTTTTGCATTTCCCAAGTCTCTGATCGTGTCTCGAATAGCTGGTAATTGTGACACTTCTGGTTCGGTTTGGTTATTTAACTGTCGATAATCAACACAAAAACGAGGAGATCCGTCTTTTTTCTCGACGATCACGATAGGAGAACAGTAACTAGAGTGACTACGACGAATCACACCTGCTGTCAGCATTTTATTTACCTCCTCATGTATGATTTCTCTTTTCCTAGGAGAATATTGATACCTCCTTATTTTGAAAGGAGTTTGATCTTTGAGTCTTATTCTATGCTCCACCAATTTAGTGGTAGGTTGATGGAGTCCTTCTTTGAATAAATCTTGAAAAGATTTTAATAAATATTCATATTTTCCTGTATTTTCAGTACTTAGTTGTCCAGGATTGAATCTCAATGGTTCTTTAGTTATTGTCTCCGCATGTTGGTACCTATTCCAATGAACTGTTATTCTTCTTTGTGTCCCCATGTAGAGACATTCAGAAACGAAATCTATCACTGCTTGATGCGTTTGCAGCCAATCACGTCCCAATATCGCTTCCTCAGATAAAGATTCAACAATGTGGAACATTGTAGCAAATTCTTGTCCTTGAACCAAAACTGGAACTACAACATTTCCTAATGTATTCAACGTGTTGATGGAATTTGCTAGTCTAACAGTAGTCGGTTTCTTTATTATATTTGATTCGTTGACGAAACATGATTTCAAGAAGGAATGACTTGCTCCAGTATCTAACAATGCATCTACCGGCTGGTCGTTGATGAGAATTCGGATATGAGTTGAATTTCGGTCGTATGTGGTCTTATGTAGTGTGGTTAGGGTCGGGCGAGGGGTCGGGTATTCTGGCTCACACCGACCCTGATCTAGTTTTCCTGGGAACTGATGTTTCTATGATTTTCAGCTGAAAAATTGCGACGACTCTTTTGCGGACAATCTCTATTGAAATGCCAACCGTTACAATAATGGCATGGTGACCTGGGACCATCTGTTATTGGTTGTGTCGGTTTTTTGACTTCTTTCAAATCGTTTTCTATCACTGAAGCACCTTGTATAAGCTCTTCTATACTAGAGAATTCCCTACTTCTCAAGTTGATGCGCAACTCTGGTAACAGTAATTCAACCACTCTAGATATTATGGTAGTCTCTGGAAGGTTGGGTTCGAGTCGTTGAAACAAACTGAGTTTTCTAGTCAAAAAAACAGCAGCAGCTTCATTGCTCTGTTTTTCACCATAAAGTTTTGCGTACAACTTTCCATGAAGTGATGCGTTGTCAAAACGTTCCAGTAAACGATTACAGAATGAATCGAAGTGCAATTGCTTACCATGAAAAGCAGAAAACCATTTCTTTGCTTCACCTTCCAAAACTTGCTGTACTTGCATCATTTGGTGTCTTGTTGGTATATTATTTTGATCAAAGTATCGTTTCATTTCCTGGAGAAAATGTTGGGGAGATTCCCAGTCATAACCAGAAAAGCTTGTTATCTGAGCTAATGTTGGTTTTAGTTTGTCAGTTCTTATTTCATTCCACATCTGAGCTGTTAATGAAGTAACCTCATGAAGGATTTCTTCTGTAGATGGGCGCCACGTAGTTTTTTCAGAACTACGAAACTGTGATTCGTTCTTCTCAGGGCATTCGATTTGTGGGTCGTTGTTACCATTTTGTTGGGCGCCATGTCGTCGTGAGACTGACGAAGGAGTACTCTGAGCAGCACCTTCCGGTGTGAAACCTTTCAGGTTATTTAACACCCGAGACCCTCTCCTTGGGAAGGAGGTTGCAGCAGGCGACTTCGTTGGCATATCCATGCCGAGTTTCAATGCAAAAACAACTAAATTATGAAAACTCCACGCTTGAAGGATAATTTAATTTCTTGATTTCTGCCACTGTCAACTGACAGGAAAATCTCATCCCTAATAACTACTGTGTGTTCATAGCAGAGGCGTCACTCTGCGACAATAATTCGAGACATCAATCAAGAAAACAAATAATAACAATGACAGTTATATCCCAGCTGACGTCATGCGCAGAACAAGACGAGTTTGAGCTTTCTGTTGAGCACACCATCTTCTCCTTGCACTTTGGCAAAAATGTATTATTTCATTTCATTTCTTCGCCTTCTATCAACCATTCCAAGTGTCGCTCCAATTTTAGAAACACCCTGTATAGGAATGTTCTCAGGAAAAAAGATTCGAGGACGTCATTATTCCATTATTCCAGTTTCCAAGTAATAAACTGCTATGGCCAGCCATGCAAAATAACTAGTTTTATCATCATTTGTACTTACCCTGGAGGCATATAAGGAGGTGCTCCTCCAGGAGGAGGAAATCTGTAATTCGGTGGTGGTCCCTGCGTTGTCGGATAGTTCATAGGAGGAGGTTGGCCTGGGGGATACGAACCAGGAATAGGCTGAAAAATAATGAAAGGTGGGTTTATGATTCAAATATCGATATTTTCAATGAAAGATTATCTAGAATTGAAGTTATTGAAAGGTTATCACTTTTTTATCGCTTGGAGCGCACGGGCGGAAATCCCTATGACGTTCGAAGAACATCGTGCATATCTAGGAAGGATAGGGAGAGGAGGTAGTTATTGGAAATCTGCAATCTAGAATAATCCGAGTGTAGTGGCAATTCTAGATTATTTCATCTGTTAATTGTTTTATCTTTTGATCTACACACACGTTACACTCACTGACAAAATAATCGATCAACTCAAAATATTGATGAATTTACCTAAATAACTGTTTGACTTAAGCACAAAATTAATTAAATATTTCGGAAACTTATGAAAATAAGCGTATCCAGAACATACCGATTGTTACAGGAAACGTGAAGATAAAAAGTGAAATAATTCCAGGTAAATTATGTCCAGGATGTGATCTATTTTTGTAAAATATGTTTAATACTGATTTCTGTGTTTTTGGATTCCATCTCCTCGTCTCCATAAATTGAAATATAAATAATAACATGTCAATAAACATTTTGAATTAACATTAAAATTAACGCTCCACCAAAAAATATCCAACAATTTTATATACATTTTCGTCCAAACTACTTGTCCGAATTGGACGGATTCAGCATTGAATGTTAGGTTATCTTCTTCTTCTTTTTGAAGAATACCAAGTGGAGCAATTATAGCTTGTTTTCTTTTTATGAAATTTGTGATACCCTGTGGAGTATAACAGTTACGTTATGAAGTTGAAATTTAATGTACCCATTAGCCTTATCTTTTTTCAAAATCCTTTTTTTGGATTCACTCCATTATCCTCCTATTTTTCCAGAAAAACAATTTTTCAGCATATCATGATTTCATTGAATTCAATTAACAATACAAGCACGAAAGTAGCAGGCTATGGTTGGGAAGGCATTTCTGAAAGGTACATAATGGTGATTTCAAAACCACATGTCAGGATTTTTGTTGATGCACGATAATGCTAGGCCTTACGTCGCCCGAGTTGTGAGAGGAATCTCTGGGACATTCTTGGGTCAAGATAACAAGACGAATGTAACTTGAAAACGCACGACAGGAACTGATGATTGAAAATTTGGGAAGACCCAGATCAACATGAAATTATGTCTCTTATTTTGGGTATGGGCCGTCTTTGCCAATGATTTATTCGTGCCCGCGGCGGAAATACTCGCCCCTGACCCTTTTGTTCAACTTCCGATGTCCCGTTTTGTTTCGTTTTTTCGTTGTTAATGTATGTGTGTGTGTGGGCAGTCCGGGACCTGATGCACTTAGGCCTCCCTTTCGGGCTCATTGTTCACCCACATTCCTGGGATCACAGGTCATCCATGGAAAAGGCCAATATCGCGAGCAAAAGAAACCAACTTCCTAGGCCAAATCTTTTCAACATCTTCTGGGTCCAGGATACTGCTCCCAAAATTGATATCCCTTGCTGCCACTACTGCCAGGCATTCAGTGAGGATGTGAGTAGAAGTATCTTCATCCTCTAAGCACCATCTGCATTCAGGATCCTCCACAATCCCGATCGTGCTGAGATTGTTTAAGTGGCAGTGCCCTGTCAGAATTTCCACCACCAGTCTCAACTCCTTCATATTCAGAGCCAAGAGGGCGTTGGTCTGTCTTCGTGACGGGTTTCCAATATAGAGTTTGGACTGCCCCATTCCAGGAGCCTCTCTCCCGCTGTCCTTAAACCTTTCCGTCAGGTTTTTCTTGATACTGAAGTTGCTCCAGGATCGAGTGACCCCGAGGACTGGCTCTGGGCTAATCACTGAACCCTTCGCCCCCTTTCTGGCCTTTGTCGTTCAATTGGATATCAACTTTCCATTAAATCATTTTACGCTATAAAATGGTGTTTCTCGAGTGATAGGAAAGGTGATGGAAAAAATAAATGTTGAAAAAAGATAAGGCTAAAGTGTTCTTTCAATCCTAACTTGATAGTTATTAATTTATTCATTTATTGAAAATGTGACTTCCAGTCAGAATCAAGTTCTGGTATAAGGAAGTATAGTTAACAATAATACCTAAAACTATACAATTATAATAAACTCATAATTAATATAATATTTGATACATTAAGTATTAAATTTTGACAAATCATTTCATATTGGTGAACAATCAATTTGAATATGAATCAAAAGTTGAAAAAAAAATCATCTATTTCGTTCAGGAATAATAGATTTTATAAGTTCGTATTTGAATTTTATTGTATTTCTGCAATTTTTTGTATTATCTGGTAATTGGAAATGAGCAGCGTGGGTGTATCAAGATGAAATAAACCATGTTGTCTAGTTTGGTAATCATGAATTTCATTGTTTCGTGTTATGTTTTCATGTTGAAAACGAAACGTCCAAAGATAAGTGAAAATTTGATAAACTTCGATATATCGATCAAAATTAATTAATCTCTGATGATTCGTTCTGAACATACCTAAAATATTACGTTAGTGAGGGCGGGAAGTAGAGGTGTGTAATGTGACACTTCCCAACCTTCAATGACGTTAGTAATGACTTCCCAACCTTCAATGACGTTAGTAATGGGGACATTACATATATGGTTGTAAATAAAATTATGATATCAATTCAATCGCTCTTAGGTACGTGAATTACTAGAATATAATGAATTTTTGTTGAGCGATTTTCTGGGTTCTATAGACAAACGAGTTTTGATACAAACATGTTCGACATATCTCGAGGTTATCAACAAGAAGATTTACTGACTAAGCTAAGCATGTCGACTTCGTCTGGTATACCCAAGCAATGGAATGATATTTTCGAAGAACATTTTTATGTGTAAGAACCTATGGAAAAATGAAAGGTCGCTCGACTTTCTCATGGTGTTCTAATGTTGTTGGGGAATTAGTGAATGTGGCATCACATAATTCTATTTGTTCTCTACTATAACGTCCTTAATATTACGAATGAATCCTTCTATGATCTACGAGCAGTGCTAATAAGTGCAAAAAACTATGTTCGGTAGGTTAAAACTAGAATGTTATTCACTTGGCCTCATGACATGAAAAAATTAAATGATGAATACAGCTCCAACCAATCGAGATCGTACCTGAATTGGATTAATTTGACCTATCACAGTGGGAATCGATCCAGGAGGAGGAGCAGAGCTATAATTTGGTGGAGGAATGTACTTCCCAGGTGGTTCATCGACAGTTGGAGTGCCAGACCTCCTTCTCTCAGGTGATCTGGAAATATCATTCAACAGGATTAGAATACTATATTGTGCAACAAGTGAGAAAAGTACTTTTCCCCACATGTTGCACACTTTGCTTTTTCTACAACTGCACAAATTTGAAGAATACAAGTAATATACGAGTAACTTGATTATCATTTTATACTGAAAGTACTTCGCAACATTGACTATTGTGACCAAAGAATAGGCGCATCCAAAGTTTGAGACATCTCTTCAAAGTATATCAAAAGTACATTCTCTGAAAAGATTTTATTTCTGTATTTTTTTTCCATTCCATCAATTTTTCGTATTTTTCCTTGAAATAGCTGGCAACAAATCTAACGTTGTTACTTTTGCAGCTTTGTCCGATATCTCTGGCGGACTATTATCAAAATCGTCACTACTCTCAGTATCCATATTATTCTTTATAAATAGGATACCTGTCTCAGTTAAGTTGGCCCAAATATACAAACAACGTTTTTTATGAAATCTGTCATATTAGCGAAGAAGTATTTCTGATGACATATGATAATTTTGTTTAAAAAATAGCTTGAAATACATTTTTGTAACAGAGAAAAATTATCTTATATGCCGATTAATACAAATGAACGAAACCATGCAAATAGCAGCAAATCACCATTGATGCGTTACATCGCTTTTTCGACTGATTACCGCCTCGATATGTCTTGACATAGCGTCAAACTGATGTCAAAATGTGTAAAACTGTTTCAAATTTCATGGAGACGTGTTCGCAATTCTGGAAAGGTTCTTGCGGGATTCGGTCGGAGATTTTTTTCATGGTATGCCACAAGGCTTCAATCGGCGACGATAGATCTGGACAACTCGGCATCCATTTTAAAACTGGAATATTGTTTTCTAACAATTTTTGCACATTTGTTCAATTTGGGGCGTTGGGCGAACTTCACTGAGACAGGGCTTGTATGTCTTATTAAAGAAATATTCAATAGAAATTGTGATTTATATCAAGGCACAAATGAAAACTACCTCAAGAATTAAAAAAAACTTCTGCTGACAGTTGTGACAGCTGAACAGCTAAGATTTTGTCCATTTTTGTTTTTTCTCCATGTGTACGTGGTGTGGTTAAAGTGCCGTGAGAAAAAATATTTCTTTAAGTAGGAGCAATACATGATTTTGAAATTTTTATCAGTTGTTGAAAAAATAGTTTTTTATCTCTCCTCTGGTGTCGCCTGTTAATAGACAGCCAGTGACTGTTGTCAAATGTCGAATAATTGTCAATTTACTCTCATTCTCTTGTGATATTATGTCATCACAAAATATTACTTACCTAGATCCACTATAAGAGCGGGATCTGCGGTGTCTGGAATTTTTTATGGGAGATAAACTCCTATTTCTGCTTCTACGCTTAGTACGACTTATACCTGAAACAAAACATACATACGAAATAATTTCAACTGAATTCAAAATCAGATAATTAGAAAGAATTTGTTAGGAAACAACTCAAGTTTCGAATATCACCTGAGACTTGTTTCCCAAAACCTAAATTTGAGAGGGAAAAGGTCAATATTATCCACTTGATGAGCATGAATTATCAAAGGTTTGATATTTTAAATATGCTTCAATGCTATAAAATCTAATGGTTTTAGATATGGACACCAAGCCCGTTAAGTCTTTCATTATTATTATTATCATGGCAATAATCGTAACACCAGAAAATTTGAAAAACGAGAGGAAAGTATTGAATTTTTCACAATCAACAATAATCATATTGTTACAGACCTCTGCAAATTTTCATTACATCAAATTTGCAATTAGAATTTTTTCCACATAGTTGCAGAGCAAAAAAATCATGATTATGCATGTTTATAACCAGACAATTCTTGTGATTTCCAGATGTACTTAGATATCTAGCAACTATGAGTTTCACCCACTGAATTATTGTAATGTCAGTAGTTATGAGTGGCATATTTCGACCGTTTGAACGATACTGTGAATTTATTGATGATTTTGAGATCTTGAAAGGCATTCAGTTCATTTTTGAGGAATAATGATATTGCAAGTATTTATCAGTATGCAGATTAATAATAAAAGATATAAACAAATTAGCCCATTATGAAGAAGGATTATATTAAAACTTACGTTCTCTGGGCGACCCTCTTGTATCTCTAGGCGAGTCATCCCTGTGCTTATGCTGCACTTTAGGTGACCTTCTCGGGGAGACCCCTGGGGGCCCCTCAATAGACTCAATCTCCGCAGATTTTTCAAGATCTCCAAGTTCTAGATTCTAAAAAAAAGCAAGGCCAATATTAATTCTACTGAAATAGGAATCAGAAAAAAATCAAAATATGAATGAATTTGATGAATTACTGATGGATTTTACAACAACTGACATTATTTGAAGATTCTGTCGGTTTCTGATTCTTCACTGGTTCAGTTGAGTCTGCCTCCGAGATAACAGGTCCTTTATTTGTATCTTCTTCCACAGTCGTTGGTAGATCTCTAGGAGGAGGCGTTTTCTTGAATATAAAAGTTATTCATTTCAATTAAGGTGACAAAATAATAAAATATGGAAGTGAGCATACAAATAATATAAGTCAACTTACCGATTCTATGAGGGTCTGAGGAGTAGTTTCCATCAATTTGATTTCTTTGAAAACAGGTTTCTTCACATAACCAGTTGTGTTCTTGAAGTTGGCAACAGAGGTTCTCAGAAATCTGTAATTTTTATAAGATAGATTCATTTGATTATGTAATTCATAGAAAAATGGTTGATAGCAGGTCAGTTTAAAAGAACATGACATGTATATTAAAATTTACTATACTATATAGTTAATAATGAGAAATATACTATGAATAAGAAAACATATATTGATAATCTCAGTCAGATATATTCTTATTTATTATCTTTTGTTCATGATGATATTCAAAATGACCCTACCTTATAAGATATTCAACAACAATCTAATTTTATAATTTCATTTCTTCCTGTATATAAATAATATGACTTTTGTCACTGTCCTATCAATTTTATGTATACATCATCTATATTTTTTATACTGATTATTTCAATTTATACTTTTTAACTCACATTGCAAGTAAGTTCTTGTTTTTGTTGAATTGACCATATATATTGTTTCAGCCTTTAAGAAGAAAATGAAAACTTTCAAAAGCTTGGCATAGCAATAAAGTAGTTTGCTTGTAGCCCGATTGACTGAACTCCCCGATATTTCCTATTATATCTTGTGTATATTATAGTTGATATTTTTTTGTATTATGCTTTATCCATGATAATATTTCTGGGAAAATGACATTATAGAATAGAATATATTACATCCATGGTATACAAGTTATGGACACGTCGTACAAAGAAACAGAAAAGTTACAAACAAAAAAGTACAAGTGATAAAATCAATTAGAGTTGAAATTAAAATAGCACTAGTTGTCTACAAAAGTCATTGATCAACTCCGTTAAGTGGTTGATTTTGTAGACTCATTCCGACAAGAATCGTTCTCAACGTTTTTTTAAAACGGTCTAACGGCAGGTCTATGATATCTATGGGAAGAGAATTGAAAAGAAAAATTCCTATGGATTTGCTCTTTTCTAATCTCCTTCCATGACGAGTACGAGAAGTGAATTAATCAATCAAGTTGTCTCAAAGAAAATACGCCTGGTGCCTATCACAGTCTTCCGTATTTTTTTCCAATTAGTTAAATTGCATCAGAAAATTTTGAAATTTTGCACACACACTATAAATTCAGTGCCCTCTTTCAGAACTTGTAATGAAAAAAATCTGAATTGAGACTATTCCCAATTCCTCACCTATTCGGTATCAACGTATCCGGAAAAATATCCTTCTCATGACAGTCCGGACACTCGTGCTCCTCGCTCTCTAACAACACCCCGCGCACGCACTCGTCGCAAAACGAATTCCCGCAACAGGGAATCATCACCGCATCCTGGAGCAAATCCGAGCAAATCCCGCACACTAAATCCTCGGGAATGTCAGGCTTGGGCTCGGGCACCGGCTGCGGCGCGCCCGCCTTGTGGTTGTACGCCTGGTGGTCGACCAATGGGACGGCGAACTGGCCGTAGGGCGTCATCATGGCGCCTGGTACTTGCGGCCCGTCGACCGCCACCATGAAGCTGCGCGGGATGCCGGTGCTCTTCTTTATTTCGACCGGGTCCTGGAAAGATGAGTCGTCGTACAATGGGCAAGATAGTTTATTGTTTATTGTTTATTGAAAAACTAGGTTCCAGTCAGAAATAAAATTCTGGTATGAGGAAGTTGATTACAAACAACAATAATAAAATAATATAAGGTGACAACAACAACAATAAAAATCTAAAAAATCTAAAAATGCTAAATCGATCAAGTCATAAAAATAGCCACAGGGACTAATCAGTAGATGGCAAAGTATCAATTTTATCCATTTCGTAATGAAATCATGTTTTTTTAATTCAATTTTAAATTTTGAAATATGTCTGCCATTTTTTATATTATGTGGTAATTCATTAAATTCAGCTAGCGCAGCGTGAGTAAATTTTTTTTTGGCCAATTATAGACCAATTATAGAAGTAGCAGAATCAAGATGAAATAAGTTTAATTGTCTCGTGTGCTGACCATGAATTTCTGAGTTTCTTACCAAAACAAAATTGGATTTCAGATTATTGTTTATTATATCATATGAAACTTTAGGAGAATCTATTTTATATAATTCATCCAATGAAAATTTTTCTGTTATCGCATACAGATCATTTGTTGGAATATCAAATGAGAGGCGATACAATACTTTCAGTGCTTTCTTATAAAGTGCAGATATTTTACTGAAATAATTTTTAGAACAAGATCCCCAAACGTTTATAATATAGGTAATACGACTGAGTATATGAGAATGAAGTACTATGTTTATGACTTATTTTGTCAAGTTTAGGGCATCTTCGCAAAGCTCCAATGATTGGAGATATTTTTTGTATCAGAACCTCTATATGCTTGTCCCATTTCAATTTTTCATCAATCCACAAACCAAGATACTTTATTTGTGTAGTTCTTTTCAAAACTTTATTTTTAATTTGGAGATTGAGACTAATATTCTGTTTAGTTTTTTGATGAAATATTATATATTCAGTTTTATTGGTGTTAATTGTTAAAATGTTTGAATTAAGCCATTTTTCAAATTTTTTCAAATCTTCGATAATAATATTTTCTAGAATGATGGGGGTTTTTGTTTTCGTATAGAAGTACAGTATCATCTGCATATATACACACACTGGCACAATTAGGGGAACGGGCAAAATTTACACTAAGTTTGACATCAATTTTCTTTCGAACCGATCGTTCGATTCAAATTTTTTTCTTCACGAAATGTAGCTTCATTCTTCACGAATACATCTGAGAAATAATTACCTTCAAACGATGAGTCTTTCCATCATATACAGGGGTGTAAAGAAAGTACGTATTTTTCGGTATCTTTTTAGACATCCTGTGGACTGAACCACTGATAATTCAAACGATTTCATAACACCAAATTGGAGCCCAATCTTTTCCGAATATTTTCGTTTTTTATTCATCTTGATATCTCAATTGTTCAAGAAAATACAGAATTTCAAAGGAAAGGTGGATATTGGTATCTGAAAATGTGTGGTTTCTTGACTAACCTAACCTAACCATGACTAAACCACTGCCATAGGAGACAGAAGCAGTAAAATCAAATTGTTCATTTTGTTCACCTCGGCGATATAGTCTTTCCCTGCCATCTATTGAATTGGTGCAGATGCGGCTCTCATATGTTAAAAGAACATTGGCTTACTGGTCATTTTCAATTAATGCTACAGCCCTCGCCACATCAGTAGGAGTCAAATCTCTCACGTTGAATTTTCATTAATTAAATTTATTAATTGTGAATCGCTCGACTTTGACAATAATTAATGACATTAACAAAATAGACAACGTTATGATTAACAAAAATAGCATTTCACCAAAAGAACATTGGAGCAACTTTTATCACCCCTGCATATTCATGAGAAAATTCGTATATGTGTCTTTAAACAGTAAATCGATAGGTAAAACTGTGAACAATTCTCATCTTGAAGTAAAAATCCTCACAGAAACAAGTTGAAAAACGACACGTTCTCCCCAGTTCGAGTTTCGAGGTGGTAAAATTATTACAAATATTCACCTCTTCTTTGAAACTCTATAATTTCTTGGATAATTGGGATATCAAGATGGATAAAAAACGAAAATATTCGGGATAGATTGGGCCATAATTTGGTGTTGGAAAATCGTTTCAATTATCAGTGGTTCACTCCACAGGATGTCTTAAAGAATACCGAAAAATCCGTACTTTCTTCACAGTCCTGTATATGATATAAAGACGAATCGTTTGGAGGTGGTTATTTCTCAGATGTATTCGTGAAGAATGAAGCTAAAATTCGGGAAAAACAAATTTGAATCGAGTGACCGGTTCGAGAGAAAATTGATGTCAAACTTAGTGTAAATTTTACCCTTTCCCCTAATTGTGCCAGTGTGTGTAGTATAATTACCTGACAATCCAATTTTAGAAATATTTTGAATATATAATGAATACAAGATGGGCCCTAAAACAGATCCCTGTGGAACACCTTTACTTATTGGATATTTATTAGACTCTGACATATTACATTTAGTGCTGATTGTCCTATTCGCAAGGTAAGATTCTAAAAGATTTTTAACAATGCCTCTGAGTCCCATCGATTCCAAGTATTCTAAGAGATTCTTATGGTCAACTGTATCAAATGCCTTTTTAAGGTTAATGAAAATAGCTACAACGTGATTTCCCGTATCAAGTCCTTCTTGAATTTTTTGTACTACTTGTAGTACTGCTGCTTGTGTACCACTATTTTCTTGGAATCCGAACTGATAATTATCAAAACAATATTTTTTGTTTATGAAATTTACAATACGTTTCTTCAAAATTTTTTCAAATATTTTCGAAAATATACTTAATATAGCTATTGGTCTTTAATTTTCTGGATCTTCAGCATCCCCACTTTTGAATATTGGTCTTAGTGAAGCATGTTTCAATTCATATGGAAAAATACCCAATACAAAATAATTATTGATTAATTTTTTCAAGGTTTCAGCCAGAATATTTTTCAATTCAAATATATTTTTTGTTGATGAACCTTCAGAGTCAGGACATGTTTTCTTCAAAGTATGAATTATTTCAATAACTTCATTTTCATCAGTTGGAAATAGAATCATTGTAGAATCATTGTATTCTGGAATGTTTTTTTCTTGTGGAATGTTGTTATAATAATATGTATTAATTTCATTGGCTAAATTATTACCAATACTCGAGAAATGATCGTTCATAGCACTGGCTATTTCCAGATGTGAAAATCTCGAGAAAGTATTGTTGAAAATCTTCCATTGAATGCTATCTCTGTGTTGGTTGCGCATATCAATGTTTCATTCTAGTCCGGCACATTCCCAGAATTTCTGAAAATTTATGTTGTCATCCCTTTGCATAAGGGCGGAGACATAGATAATCCATCTAATCTTCGGCCGATCTCGTTGATTACAACTATTGTCAAAATCATTGAAAAACGACTCGTTGAGTTTTTGAAAAAAACAGAAACACGCACGATACAATATTCTCACTTTTGAATAAAGTTTATTCGGAAATAAATGCAGCTGAGATTTCCGCGGCGGTGTTTTGTGACATATCAAAAGCATTCAACTGTGTGATCATGGAGTAATGCTTCATCAGTATGGATGCAGAGGAATGACATACAGATAGTTCGAATCATATTTATCAGGAAGAAATCAAGTGGTCAAAACGACAGAACTATCCAAAAAGAGAAATATTGTTCACTCTTTTCGCAGATGATACTACTATATTATGGAACAGTAGGAATCCTCGAGATCTGCATGAAATGATATCATCTGATTTGAAAAAGGTGAAAGATTGGTGGGACGCCAATATTCTGTCGTTCAATATATCTAAAACTAGTATAATATCATTCAGATGCTCCCTTAATGAACTCACATTTGGTGATGTTATTGAAAGTAGAAATTATACTAAATTTATGGGATTGTTCATCGACAAGAATCAGAAATTTGGTAACCACGTCAAGCTACTCACTGGTAAGATTTCTTCTGGATAAATTAGGATTCTTTACTGCCAAGATGGAATATTATTCACTAATAGATTCCCAATTACGACATGGAATACCTTTTTGGGGAGTATGGAGCCCAACGTCCTTCTGCAGAAACGAGCGATAAGGTATTTATGTAATGTCAAACCTCGAGATTCTCGCAGAATTTTATTTTCCAATAATAAAATATTGACAGTGATTGCACTATTCATTTTGGAATCTGTTTTGCCTGATGAATAAAAACAAGTTAAAATTCACTACAACTCCCATCCATCATAACACGCGCAACAGCAATTTCCGTTTGAAACTTCCTCTACCCACAAAAGAGTTTATTAAAGATGGTGGGAAAATGTACAACCACTTGCCAGAGTTGATATAAGGTCAGCAAGTCTGAATGACTGTCAATTCATAAAGAAAGTCAAAAAGTACCTCTCTGATAGACCCCATTATAGTTTGCAGGAATATTATAGTGATACGTTTGAATTATGATATTTTAGTATTTTAATGTGGTATTTATTCTGACTATATTGTCTCGTATTTTTAGGTCGTTATATTTCTTTAACCTTTGCCAGGACCTTCACGGCCAAAGAGGATGAAGACGTGATTCCAGAGAAAGTGGAGTGTTTGAAATTATCAAGTTATTGTGAATGAGAACAATGAGAATAAAATGACTCACCACATATGTAACTTTTTTCATTATCTTCATAATAATATATCATCATCTTTATGATACAATTGTTCAAGTAGAATTATTTTCGTGTACTGTATGAAAGAAACTATTTTCAAGTGTGGCAACACATCAGTATACATTTACAGAGCTGTAATAAACAATAATTGTGGTTCATTGGTTCAGGAATATAAAAACAGCTTTTTTAAAAATGACAAAATTTTAAGGAAATCCTCAAAATTGCTGAAGCTGTAGAAAAAAAAAAGAATTCAACGAGATAATAAAATATGTTTGTGTCGTATCTCCAAAACCATACCCCGAAAATTGAGCACGCCATTGGATCCTGCTCAAAATTCCCTGATAGACGTAGTTCTTAGGGCAACATTATTTCTAATACATTCTATTCTGTATTCTTTGCGTGTGAATGAAATTAGCATATACCTACGCGCCATATCTAATTTTCTGAATCTAGTATAAATATAGCTGCTGATGATGAGGAATAAAGCTAGCGAAAAGCTAACGAATAAAAAACAATTGAAAAAAAAAGAAGAAGTTGTTGATTATACAGTCCTCCCCCCCTTTTACTTTTGAACGGAACAAGCTAGCGAGGACGAGTAAAATTCAGGTACAATGAAAATAGTTGTGGTCACGTGGTTCCTAGTTTTGAATGCCTTTCGATTTTCTATCCAACACCTCTTCGTTTGTGCAAACCAGCCAAACCGTTTCAAACTGACAAGCGTTTGAAGTTCAGATCGGAAACATGAAAATAACGTTCAGAACGAATTCCAAAACCGGTTTTTTTTTCTATCATTTCGGAGTATACAATGGTGTGGGGATTCTAGTTTAGGTCGTACACAAGCATTGTATTCCGGATTTCCAGTTGAACTGGTATGCATTGCTAAGCACAAAACTCAACTTTATGTAACTGTCCTTTACAATATTCCTGACATGAGAGGTGAAATTTTTTTTTTCTTCAAAAACTACCCCCCAAATCTCTGGAATCTTGTACCTTTTCTAGTCTAATTTTATTCACCCATTACTCTGCATCTATGAGATTAGTTTGACGAGTAAATGATGAGTTTTGAATTTATTTCCATGCACTAAAAGGTCATTTAACTTGCAGAACGAGATGAGTGTGTCAAGGTCTTGTTTTAGTAGAATGTTGTCATTTTCGTCATTGACTATTTTATATAGTGTCATTCATAAAGTTGGCATCATATGGAAAACAATTTTGAAAAACATTTATTTGGAAATTCTACTTCGGCATTAAGGTTTGCTTCAAAAAGCTTGGAAAATTGCCTACTCGGCTGTCACGTGACATTCGCCACACGTCAAAAGATATTTTTTTCAAATTACTCGCTGAAAATGGGCTGATTTGTTCGAATTTCAAACAAGTTTACTAGGAAAAGTTGTTTCTATTCCAATTTCACACATGTATCTCGAATTTGACCGTTCTATTGCAACTTTTAGTTGTTGATATTTTTTTATTTCTTCTAATAAGTAACTTTGACGAAACTGTCCTTATCTCTAGTTAGATACGTAAAGTAGTTTAATGATATTATTATAGATTACTTTTGCATCATTTTAGTACTGACAACATCAATTTGAAGGAATTTTGCTTCTGAATGAGGAGCGATAGACGGTATATCATCTTTGCATCGAACATAACATAAATTTGAAGCATGGATCATTATTTTATGAAGAAAATCAATTTCTGTCGATAATAAGTGAATGAAAGTTAGTAGCATTATGAAGCTACTAGAAGTTGTTTTGTCGGTGTTAATTTGTTTTAATATCACAGAAATTTCGTGAAAATTGAAAAAAATTCAAAAACTAAAAGTTGTCAGAGAACGTTCAAAATCGAGACACATATGTAAAATTGAAATAGAAACAACTTTTCTCAGTGAGCTTTTTTGAAATTGAAACATATAAGCCTATTTTCAGCGATTTTCCTGACATAAAAGAATCCAAAGGAATTCCTATTTATAAAAATAAAGGTCAGCAAAAGATATAAAAAACTATCGTCTTATTTGTATACCTAGCCAAATTACGAAAGTTTTTGAATCAGTTTATTATGTGAGGCTTAGTAATTACCGCGAGCATTTCAACATGTTACCAGCCATCAAGAATGGTTTTAGAAAGGGCAAATCTACAGCAACTGCCATTTCAGACTGTTTAGATTTCATTTATAAAGCACTTAATGATAAACAGAATACTTTGGGGCTTTTCTATGATCTCAGCCGTATATTTGACACAGTAGATCACAATCTCTTACTGCAGAAAATAGATGGAATGGGAATACGTGGAAAGCCTTATGATTGGGCAGAGTCCTATCAAACCGAACACAAGTTGTTTCAACTGATAATGCTAGATCTGTTCCTCGTCAATCCACTTTGGGTGTGCCACAGGGATCGATTATTTTTTATCATCTTTGTGAGTTATATCACTAAATTTTGTTCAGCTACCGAACAAATTATTCAATATGCTGATGATACTAATATTCTCATGTCAAATAATGAAATTGAACAACTTATTCAGAACAGTAACAAGGCATCATATGAATTTGATCAGTACTGCAAGGAAAATGAACTAACTCAGATTGTGACAAAAACTCATTTCATGAGTTTTCTGCCAAAAAGCGCATTCAAATATTGTAACTGCAAAATTAAGTACTCATTGTTATATGAGAAGAAATCTTAAAGAAACTGTATCATTTCACATATTGAAACTTCTCTATTATAGACTAGTGCAGTCAACTTTCCAATATGGTTTGATATTTTGGGGTGCTTCACCTCACCTCGATAGAGCTTTCGTAGCTCAGGAGAAACTCTTGAGAGCTATGTATAATGTGTCACCAATAACATCATGTAAATCACTTTTTGAAAAATCAGAGATTCTGCGTTACCTTGTCTTTTTATTTTTCACTTAATACTGTACGTCTAAGGAAATGAGGAAGCTTTTGACAAAAATGAAGATATACATTCATATAACACCATTCTCACGGCTACACATAGGTCAACAGTCACCAACGCACATTGGAATCAAGTGCTTCATAACATGCTTCATAACATAACAACTGCATATAATATGATGAATGTAAACTCAAATAATGTAAGAAACTTCAGGCAGAAGGTCCACTCATTTTCAACTTTTAATGCATTTTATAGTGTTGAGGAATTCCTCGAATTTTAAAAAAAGTGTGTCTCCACCTATTATTGTAAATTATTGTCCTATATAATAATGTCCCTTTTAGATATAATTATTATTCTATAGCATGTCATTGTCCGTTGTTTGTCCATTTTGTTTTTTGTGAACTGACTAGTCTGATAGGATGGTGCAATGTACTATATTTTTGTTATGTGTAATGTATAGTCCTCATAGATGAATAAAATTCTGTCTTTCTCTCTAAGTTGAAAAAATTAAACTTTTGACATGTAGCGAAAGTCACGTGACCCCGACCAAGTAGTCCATTTTTCAAAACTCAACGCCCATGTCGAATTTCCAGATAAATTATTGATATTACATTTATTGTCCTAGGTCACTAAAGTGTTACTTAAAGCCAGCGAATCCGGGCGATAAAGTGCCACTTTACGCCTGGTCGTACATAAAGAATATTTTCATCACGGGACCTTATGTGCCCTGGGTAATGATGACATTATTTACAAACAGGAGATCGAACAATGTAAAAAAAATTGTAAATCCATTCCATTGTACTTACTGCTCCTTGCCCGAAAGTACAGTCCTTAATCCAGTGACCACCTTGGTGACACTTATAGCATTTGTAAGTTGGAGGAACTGTTCCCATTTGATTGGCCCCTCTGATTTTCATGTAACTAAGGAAAAAGAAACACGTTAAAAATTGTTGACTCCTGCAATTATTATGATAATGATAATAGTTTGTTCATCTAGCCACCACGACATTAATAAAATAAAATATAACGTTGTATCACACTAGCGGCGTTCACTCCCGAAACGAGAAATTAGCAGCGCCACTATTGGTAGTTATTTATATCAATAATATATCAGGAATTCAATATTTGATAACCAAACAACTACTTCCCTGGCTAATGCCACTAGCTCAGAAAAACGGTAACGATTAGGACCCAATCCGGGGAAAAATTCAAGTAGTCGGTTTCTCTGTGGTTTTTCATGTTATTGGAGGTGCTGAATTCGAATCTGAATTTTGTAAAAAAAATTCCCGGAGCGTTCCGAGACATTAACAAAAAACAGCGAAATTTTCGCACTTTTTTCGTTTTTTTGCCAGTAACTCGGAAATCATACATTATATCGATAAGACCGCCTTATACAAAGTTGAAGTAGATAAAATTTCCTAGATAAAATTGTTCTTGCTCATGAATGTACGACTGAAGGTTGCGGAGATAGAGCCTGTTGAAAATTGACCAAATTTGCATGCTCTTAAAAAAATTGCGTTTTCGCAGATAATTCATATTTTACGCTACGTATTACTCAAAGAGCATCATGCACATATTGGAAGAGCATCAAATTTCCTATCGAGCTCATGTGAATTTCGTCATTATGAAAAAAGATGAACGGCTGTTAGAGCGCTCGGACTTGGAGACGTCTTTTAGTTGTAGTTGCCCCACTCATGTTCATCCTTTCAACTTATATGATTTGGATCATATGAACCTATAGTCATTAAAGCTCTAAAACGTATAAATAGGTCATTGTTTTGTTTTTGTATTCTGTGTGGAGGACAAAAAATAAAATTAAAATTCTGTACGCTGGAATAGTTATTATAATTGCGATACAATAATTCCTAATGTTATAGGGTATTCTCTGAATATTCTGATAAAAAACTGATAAACTATTCAAACTATCAAAATTACCTTTTTTGTGATGAATAAGTATTAGATCAATTCTCGCTCATGTGGGTTCCAAGGGGTCAAGGGAACGAGGCAGCTGATCGCCTAGCAAAAAAGTGCAGAGCTCACATTTTACCTTCCTGTGAGACAAGCAAATGCCACCTTAGCACAGAGCTCAGATAATGAGAATGAAGTGAAAAATCCTACTACTGTAGAGCAACTCCGGGTAAACGAGAAGGAAAGAGTTCTTCAACAATTCGTAAGCTATTGAGTCTCAGCAAACAAGAGCAAACGCACTTCCCACTGAGCTATTACTAGAATGGGTCTAGAGGTGACTGACACTAAACCGCAGATCATTTGTTCATGTAATGTACCAGTCCGCCAAAGGCTGACTACCCTAGAACAGGTCTAGATAACGCCTGTTGAGGTGGAAAATTCAACCGTCATTAGAAGTCTAGGGTTATAGAAAGCAATTAAACAGATGAGGGTGATCCTATAATCTGAAATCTAATCGTCACTACATCGTCGTTTGGCAGGGGGCTGGTACCCTGAAGGACCTGGTTCTGGGAATGGTGGTGCAGGTGGAGCAAATCGTGTTTTCTCCAGGGTACCATCATCCTCTATACGATGGTCTGGAAGAGAAATTGATAGACATTTCTATATGCAAGGTAACTAGCCAGATGGTGGGTTCAAGTATAACCATATGAAAGTTTGATTGTAGTAGATGTTAATAGTAGATAAAGCTGGCACCTCTAAGTGAGTTTGTGATGGATAATTCTTCATCGACATCAAGATCCTGGTCGTTCTCTAGATCATACTGCACGATATTGCTGTAAGAAAACCAATTCAATATTCTTCCTAGTTGATGTGAAGAATTCACATGGCTAGGACTCTTCCATATCAGGCCATATAGTTCGTTTCTTCGAGGAATGCGTAGATTTGGAATTAACGAAAACCGACGAGAAACGCTATTTTTTTGAAAGTACGCAAATTTGGTCAATTTTCAACTGGCTCTATCTCCGTACTCGTTAGTCCTACATTCACAATTATATTTAGGAAATGTTATCTACTTCAACTTTTTATAAGGCGGTCTTTTCGAAATAACGTATAATTTGAAGTTACGGGCAAAAAAACGAAAAAAAGTCCGAAAATTTTGCTGTTTTTTGCGAATATCTCGGAATGCTCCAGAAAATTCAGATTCGAATTCAGCACCTCCAAAAACATATGAAACCACAGAGAAACCGCCTCCTTGAATTTTTTCCAAGTGAAAATACCATTTGATTGGACTGCACGCAGAACATTGAATTACCCGATATCTATGTAACGATCCCTATAAGCGGATACTGATTGCAATACTAAAATGCTGTGAGCGGAATTTAACATGAAGTGAAAATTCTCACAGAAACGACACGTTCTTAGGTCCAATTCGGGTGTCCACGTCGATGTCAACGTGGGTATCAAGATCAAAATACACCTTTTCTTCGAAACCTTTTTTTTTTAATCATTGAGATATGCGAGTGAATAGAATGACAAACGGTTCGGAAAAGATCTCGCTATAATTTGGTGTTAAAAAGTGTTTTCAATTGTAAAAGTTCACTCCAGAGGATGCCTCGAAGAACACCAAAAATACCGTCCTTCTATTTCGTACCTGTATAGGATATGAAGACGAAATGTTTAACGACAATGAGTCAGATGTATTAATGCAGAATGAAATAACAATTGATGAAAAACATTGATCCATTTCCCCAAAACTAACATTTTCTCTGTTCGTTTCTATAAATAAACATATAAGTATTATTCCAATATATGTGTAGTGAAAACAAATCAGATGATTTGCTCCAAAATGTCACTGCGTTCGAAAATCTTTCTATCAGAGCCTAAAAGACAAATTTTATTCATAGCCACTAACTAGCCAGCCAGTGTTCAGAAAAATGTTTGAAGAAGAGGTATAGATATTGATATATACAGGGTGTTATGAAATTACATAGAAATATTTCAACTACAGATTCTTGGAACAAAAGTAGTAAAAAAAATCATATAACCATGAGCCCAGAAATTGCCCACTCGGGACTTATAGCTATCTAAAGGGGAGCCCGAGATGATGGATTTATGTAAATATTCCCGAAACCCTCTGTGTTGAGATAACGAAATTTCGTACATGTATATTTCTTTTCATGCCCAATTTTGAAATGTTGAGAATTTTCCGAAATTTTTATCAGGGGTGTGGGAAATAGAGGTGAGGCTAGGGGCATTTCTTTCCCCAACTTTTTTTTATGCATTTTTCGGCAGTGTGACCAGGAAATATGAAAATAAAGGGTCTTTCAACAAGGACCGGTCGATGTTGACAGTGTGTGGCGGCCATGTTTTTTTGGGGGCATCTGTCGAATCTGTTGTATTCTATTCAGTCACTGATGCCAAATTACCAAGGCAAGTTACACGATCGAGCAGCATGTCCAAATGATTAAACTTTATCATCAAAATGAGTGTTCGTTAGTGCAAACGTTGCGCGCATTGCGCCCATTTTACGGCAGACGCGGTGGCCCTTCAAAGTCGACTCTCCAAAGTTGAGTAGCCAAATTCGAGACAACCGGTTCGGTAAACAACCAACCAACACCCTTACGTCAAAGGAACGCCAGATCGGCCGATAATATCGACGCTGTCAGTCAGAGTGTGCAGGAGACTCCGAGGCAGTCGATTTCTCGCCGTGCACAAGAACTAGGCCTTTCGCAGACTTCAACTTGGAGAATTTTGCGCCGGGACTTGGGCCTGCACCCGTACAAGATCCAACTGACCCAGCAGCTCAAAGTTAATGACCATAGGCAACGCCGTTTGTTCGCTCAGTGGGCTTCGGAACGTTTGGAAGACGACCCCGATTTTGGCCGAAAAATAATCTTTAGCGACGAGGCCCATTTTTGGATGAATGGTTTTGTTAATAAGCAAAATTGCCGTATATGGGATGAACACAATGCAATGCAATGCATCCACAAAGAGTTACTGTTTGGTGTGGATTTTGGTCCGGCGGCGTCATTGGTCCGTACTTCTTTGAAAATGAAATTGGCAAGGCCATCACCGTCAATGGCGAGCGCTACAGATAAATGATTAACAAATTATTTTGGCCTGAATTGAACGATATGGACGTGGACGACATGTGGTTCCAACAAGACGGCGCAACGTGCCACACAGCGAACGATACAATGGACATTCTGCACGAACGGTTTGAGGGTAGGGTTATCTCTCGCAGAGGTGATGTGAATTGGCCGCCAAGATCGTGCGATTTGACTCCACTAGACTTTTTCTTGTGGGGTTTTCTGAAGTCGCAGGTCTATGTTAATAAGCCGCAATTGACCGATGTCCTGAAAGTGAACATAACGCAAGCCATTGCTCAGATTCAGCCGGATTTATGCAGCAGAGTCATTGAAAATTGGACCTCTCGGATCCGTGCCACCATTCGAAGCCGCTGCGGACATTTGAACGATGTTATATTCTATAAATAATGGCATAAATGGGCTATTCAAATAAAATAAAAATTAATATCTCACACACAGCTTGTTTTATTCAATTACAACATCGACCGGTCCTTGTTGAAAGACTCTTCATTATCATTTTTACCTGAAAATGATACACCTGTTCAGTTTGGATAGCACTCGCCATTTTCGAGATAAATCGATTTAAAAAGTCTGCTGCGTAATAAAAATTGTACTTTTTCTTAATAGGGTACCTACCATAATATTTTTCAAATTATTATTTTTATTGTTCCTCCCATATTTCAAGTCAAACATCACAGGTAGATGTTGAAAAAAGGGTACCCTATTATAAGAAAGAGGCACTATTTTTTGTTACGCAGCAGACTCTTAAAATCGATTCATCTCGAAAATTGTGAGTGCTATCGAAACTGAACAGAAGTATTATTAGTAAAAATTTTGATATTTTCATATTTCCTGATCAAACTGCCGAAAATTGCATTGAAAAAATAGTTGGGGGAAGAACTGCCCTCAGCCCCACCTATTTCC